ATGCAATCGCACCTGTAGATGAGCATTCCATAAGAATTGCTCCAGAGAGGATCCAGAATGTCTCTCTGGAAGGTGATGTTTTAACCATTTCTCTCCACAGGGACTATGTTGAATCTGTAGATCTGGCAGGTCATGCTCAATTCCTTGCCAGAATTGAAAGGGTTAATAACAACTTATTCTTTCCTATTCAAATACACGACTTAGGAAGAAGTAGGAATGCAAAGCTGGACTTAAAGAGTGAGAACAGCTATATTAGCAGGAGTCTGTTAAAGCAGATCGCTAATCCTAAAATGATCAGGTACGCTTCCCCACATGACAGGTGGATCCAGAATCTGGATGGCGAATCAGAGAGTCACAATGTGATAGCAAAATGTTTACTATCTGTTTCCATCGGAAATAAGACCGTTAAACATTTATTCCTAGTGATAGACGAACCTCGCTATCAGGTTTACGTTGGCAATGATGTCATACATCGCTTTGCCATACACCTTGATCTGATTAATTCCAACTTGTGGACAAGGTTAAAAGGTAATCCTTGTGGATACCTACACGAAGAAAATGCCCTGAAATCAGGACAAATACTCCCTTATGCGGTAAGTATCCAAGTACCTGATGACATAACCATTCCACAGGGGACAAGTAATTTTCTTTTACCCCTACAGGTAAAGAAGGGTCAGAGATTGGAAAACTCTGATGCCCTAATCTGTTTATCCAACAGGATACAACAATTAGGGATGGTGGTAACACATACACCAATGGTAAGTATTGGTAAGAATCCCACCTATATCATGGTCAACAATGTTACACCCAATAGTATTACTTTACCAAAAGGAACATTATTAGGTCTAGCATTGGATGCTGAGTACTATACATTTGGTTTCCAAAACCAAATTATAGGCCTCATCCCTGAAGAATACTTAACTGAGGACGAAATTGTCGATCAAATATTCCATTCCTCCCCAGAAGGATTATTCACTATCCTATCTGTATATCCCTTCAACGTTGAAGAAGGCTCGTGTAAAATCGAAGAAGCATCTATCACCTTCGATCATCCGCTCAATGAGCAGGAATCACAAGAGTATCACGACCAAAGAGAAAAGGTAAGTCAACACCGAACTGACCTCACTTCTAGGCTTGAAGAAGCTTATGAGATAGGCCAGCCTGAAATCTTTCCAGGATTTCAGGAAAGGCTAGAAGAGCAAATATCTTTAGCTGACGGTTGCTCCAACGATGCTGAGCGGCAACAGCTAAAGGAAATCCTTTTGGAATTCCAAGATATTTTTGCCAAAGATTCCTACGACTGTGGGTTAACTAACCTCCACGTAGCCAGAATACAAACTGATCCAAATTTGCCACCTGTATTTATCAAACAATATAGACTCCCATTAGCGTCATATGATGGTCTACAAGACATCATTCAGAATTTAAAGGAAAGGGGCATTATACGTCCAGTGCACAGTTCGTATAATAATCCGATCTTGGGGATTCTGAAACCTAATGGACAATGGCGTTTATGCGCTGACTTACGACAGCTAAATAAATATATGTCTGGTTGGCCAACGCCATACATAGACCAATGTTTGGTACAAATGCAGGGATCCAAAATATTCACTGCCATTGACTGTGCGCAGGGATATTGGACTGTACCAGTCCATAATGAAGACCAATACAAATTGGCCTTCACATTTGGAAAGCAGCAGTATACCTGGACCCGTATGCCTTTCGGTTATATAAACTCTGGTCATGAATTCGCTGTGTTCATGCATAAAGCTATGCCTGACGCACTCGAGAGAGGAACGTTATCATATGTCGACGATGTCTTGCTGAAAAGCACCTCCTTTGATAAGCATATCTTAGAGATTAGACATGTTCTCACTCAGTTAAGAGAGGCAGGGATTAAACTGTCTTTACAAAAGGCGCAATGGTGTCGCACCCATGTCAATTTCCTCGGACATGAGGTAACTTCTGAAGGATTAAATCCCCAGAGGAAGAAGGTTGAAGCCGTACTAAAGGCTAAAACACCTTCAAACATCAGGGAATTAAGATCGTTCCTTGGTATGACTAATTACTCCCGTAAGTTTATAGATAACTATGCAGAAATAACTAAACCACTCTTACACCTGCTTAAAAAGGAAACTACCTGGAACTGGGGGAAGCCTCAGGACCAAGCGGTAAGTGAACTGAGGAGGAAGCTCACTCAGGCACCCTGTTTAGCATACCCAGAGGGGGGTAAACCCTTCTATCTGGAGACAGGATATACCGACTTAAGCATAAGTTCTGTTCTGTACCAGAAGCAGGACAGTTTAAACAAGGTTATTGCATATGCTAGCAAGACTTTGTCACCTGTTGAAGTTAAATTCAACACGTGTGAGAAGGCGTTATTGTCGACTGTCTGGGCACTACAAAATTTTCGTAGCTATATCCAAGGTGAGAAAATAATTGTAGAAACAGCTCACCAACCTCTACAGTATCTGCAGAGTGAAAGAATTAGAGACGGTAATCTCTCTAACAGTCGGATTACTGCATGGACTCTATCCTTACAGGGATGGCCGTTAGAAGTCCGTTATAAACATAATAAGAGAAGCCCAGTTGTCCAAGGTTTAGCAGAATTACATGACTGTACTGCTTCATCTCTGGATGATAATGACACCGGAGATGACTTCCTAGAAGAGCAATTGCTATCTCCTTATAAAGTTTATGACGAGGAATACTGTCGACCACTACCGTGGGTATACATTGATGGTTGTTCATATCACCACGTCGTTGGTGCTGAACGGAAGTTAGTTGCAGGTATCGGAATCGCCTGGACAGGTGATTATCCCAATGTATCTATAGGATACAATATTGGTCCCAAAAGCAGTCAGATAGCCGAACTCTGTGCAGTATATAAGACCATTCAAATGGCAATAGAATATGGTATCAAAGAATTTGTTATTATAACTGATTCCAACTATGTTCGCAACAGTTTCGTCGAATATCTGCCTAGCTGGAAACGTAACCAAATGCTGAAAAGCAATAACAAACCTGTTAAACATGGGAAATTGTTTTGTAAAATCGATGAACTGGTTAAGGAAAATGGTTTAACCATATATTGGAAGAAAACCAAAGGCCATTCTAAAATAGAAGGTATTGACAAGGATGGTAATGACTTAGCCGATTCACTGGCAAAACAAGCTGCCATCAATGGTGAAACCCTAAACATTGATGATCTTATGGGTTCAATTCATGTTGAAGCCATAACTAGACGACAGGCTAGAGATAATGCCGACTTAAACGTCGTGCAATGGAGTCAAGAAGCTCCTAATCAGGACCTGATTACCAGTCAAAAGAATGATCCCGTCATAGGTATATTCTATAAACATATAGAAGACCCTACTGCCAATCCCATCACAGATGAGGATTGCAAAGATAATGAAGATTTACGAATCTTGATGAGATATAAAGTCCAATTTAGTATCATGGATGGGTTACTGGTCAGAACTTCTAAACATGGTATACAACAATGGGTAGTCCCAACTGTATACAGAGGGTTAATGCTCCAACACGCACATGATGCACCTACATCTGGGCATCGTGGTGATAAGATCACATATGAGATATTGCGTGATTATGCATATTGGCCACACATGTTGAGGGATGTTAAGACATACTGTCAGGGATGCTTGATTTGTCCGCAATATCAACCCCATGGTCCAACCCATCGTGCACCACTTCAGAAGAGGGGGTGTCATTACCCTGGTCTGATATTCAAATTGACTTTATAGGTCCTGTAACAAGATCTTCAAGAGGTAACAAATACATGTTAACCGTTACATGTATGTACACAAAGTGGATAGAATGTTTGCCTTGTAAAGAGAACACGAGTACCGTGTGCGCCACTTTGTTGATTAACCATGTCTTTTCCAGGTTCGGTCTGCCTCAAAGAATTGAGTCAGACAGAGGTAGTCATTTTACCAGCGAAGTAATGGCTAAGATGTGGAACATTCTAGGTGTTAAACGAAAGCTACATATTGCATACCGCGCTGCGTCTAGCGGGGGGGTAGAGCGATATAACCAGTCTATCGTTAATATTCTGAAGAAATATGTTAAGGAGTCTGGTAAAGACTGGGACATTAAATTGCCCCTAGTTTTAATGGCGATTAGAGCTACACCTAGCACTGCTACCAAATTGTCACCTTTTGAATTGATGACAGGAAGAAAGATGGTTTTACCACAGCATTTACTATATCGTACTTCGGATCATAACTTGATCAATGCTGCCACTACGCATCAGTATATCGAAGATTTGCGCAAGCATTTACAGCATGCGTTTGCTTTTGCCCAAAAGAATCTAGAAAAAGCAGCGACAGGGGTTAAGACCTATTACGATCTAAAAACCACGAAAAAGGAATATGAGATCACAGATCAAGTCTATCTGTATAACTTTGCGCGAAATCAAGTAAAGGAAAAGAAATTTTTACCTTCTTGGAAAGGGCCATATGTCATTATTGACAAAATTTCCCCAGTAGCGTATAAGATAAAAATTCCTAAGGATGGTGATTTTATTGAAAAGTGGGTTCACATTAACCAGTTGCGTGCTTGTCATCCTAAATCTCAATTAAGGATTATAGGTGTGGATTCAGACGCAGAAGGGTGAACGACTAACCTGGATGAATGCTTGATTCACGTGGTATAGTATGATGTGAAATGTTGTGATGTGCCATGATCTCATGTACGTTCATGTCATTAACCATTTCCTTGCCATCCAATAACTACATTTTATAAGCAGGTTACTAGCTTGTTTAACTGCTATAGGCAAATTACTGAAGAGTCAGTAATAAATGTAGTGAGGGATGAAGTTATAAAAATAGAATTAGACAGAATACATATGTTGATGAATCGTAATAATGTGTTGTCCTAGGCCAAGTGATGTCACACTGTTATAAGTTTGTATGCTTAACAAACCTTGAATCATTAGTAGATAAGTCTGAAACGAGTTCCTGATCCGTGACTGTCGAAAGATGTCCAAGAAGGATGTGGCGTGTTTCTGGATCGTACTGCTCCTGTGCCAAGAGCTACGGACCGACCCGATCGCAGAGATGGGACCATCCTCCGGCATCCTGATTCAAGAGACACCAGGGTTCATCTTAACAGAGAAGAGGATCCTGACCCGACGTGTGTTCGTCAGCTTGGACCCCAAGATTTCCATCGAGAAGGCATACAACATTTCATCGATGCAGCTTCCTGAGTTACAGACTTGGTACCAGATGCACCTCCAAAGAGCACAGGACCGTGTGCGAAACATCTTGGAGCAAGCCCGGAAACCATTTGTATCCAGTTCTATTCCGATGAGCAACCGACCCAAAAGGTTCCTCACCGCTATAATTGTTGCATTAGTTTGTGCCACTGTCGGTGCAGTTGTCGCAACTGGAATGTCTGCAGCCAACTCTATTACTGTCCAAAAGCTGGATATGGAAATCTATGCGCTAAAGCAACACATTAACGATATTCATCAGGTGATAAACCAGCAAAGAACACTTCTCCAAGACGTGTTAACTATTGTGGAAGACACAGTTGTTACAACAAATTTGCATTCAGAGTTAATTGCCAAATCCACTGAGTTGCACCAAAGTCATGACTTATTTAAGCGTGAACTTTTATTTCTGCATGACCCAATATTGTTCCACACACTTGCTTTTCTCGACGAAGTGCAAACTGGAATGATCGAATTGGCAGGGGGACGCATACCTCTGTATTTTGTATCCAAGGATATTGTTCATGCGATGCTTGCCAATGTGGATGGAGAGACAATTGAGCCTATGCAATTAAATCTGGCCTTTGAGATGGGGAGCGCTATACCTCTCTTAATTGATCCGGAACGTATGGAGATTTGCTTTTTATTGACCATACCATATGTAACTCCCAAAGACATTTGTCAAATGAAAATAATGTACTATGTTAGAAATGATGTGATTGCACAATATGTCTAGTAACTTCTATAGTGCTTATTCATAAGCTAAATTAATTTTGGCTATGAAATGCACTAAAGGGGGGTTATGTCAGAGTATTTATATCGGCAGACATTTTGTGCTATGATAGAAACTAAAAGTGTATATTCTGAGTCACTCTGAACAGACCAGACTCCATTTTGTTATTTCAAATTAACAAAGAAGACACTAGATTTCTTTCTGTAAGACTGGCCTCTTTGCCAGAGCTGAGGAATGCATAGTATATACAAGCCAAGTGATAAGGAAGGGGGTTGGACAGATTGTCTAATGCTAATGGAATATAATCAAATCTAAACCCAGACAATTGTGACAGAGAAGATTAAATAATTTAATATTTAACTGTCTATACATATAAGGTACCATTGTATGGAAAAGGGTAAACTTAGTTCATGATCTGTCATATCAGAAATTATAGCAGATTTGCAGACACATAGTCTGGACAAAATTTAAGAACCCCTTTGATCTTTGAAGGATACGTAAGTTATAGCCACTATCTAGATAGGCCAAAATGACGTCAAAATAGCCACCAGGAAAAGTTAACTCTTTCCTGGATAGGTATGTTTAGTGGGACAAGACTGCCCTCTACAGACCAAATAACTAATTTGCGATCTGGAAGATAACCACACCTCTAGTGCTTCTATTGGGTTATCAACTGATGACGTACAGAGAGTCTGGCCCTTTAAAAGTTAAGACAAAGGGAAGATACACGAGAGGGAGGCAGATGCAAGATATGCAAAGGAGAGGAGAGAGGAATTGGAAGTTTGGGGATTCCAACTCGGACAACATCTGAGACTAACACTCTACTCCTAAAACTCTAACACTTAGAATTTACTGACTTTCTAACCAACACCTCCATGCAGAGAGACTACCAATCGGATGAAATATCTACTCAACTGGTAATTATACTGGTTTCATTTAATTAAATTAAATTAATTAAAATGTATTAATAGCATTATATATGACTGGATAAAGCACGGTCAGATTTCCATATTAAGAAATCTTAGTTAACTAAGAATATATAGTTATAAAGATTCCATTCTGCAGGTGGAATTAAGAATAATTATATATTGATGTGATATTATCACGTGTTAGCATACCGCTGTTTTTATCCAGGTGTATTGATTTGCTCTAAATTAAGATAGATATCTTTTAGACAAATTAAAAATCTGCTTATATAACATATTAGACTCTCTTATTGGATGGTTTAAGAAAATGAATTTAAACTGGTTTAAATGTTATTTTATTTAAAAATACATAAGAGTAGATCTTAACTACCTAGGAGATCTAGCCAGCATTGAAAGGGTTATTCTAACTGTCTGCTAAACTTTACGACCTTATGCTGCATTCTGAGGAATTCTGTTCTTCCCTGCGAAAAGTTTCACTTTCAGTCTGTGAAAGCTAGTCATAAATCGTCAGAATTCTTGACAGAAAATGCTAGTTAGCCATTGAAACGTAATATCTTTGTATTGCATATAATTTTATACTGAATATTCATTGATTATTGTCATGCATGTTACATAATATTATTTGTTAATTATTGGTTATCATAAATAAAATCTATTTTTATACATTGTGATATTATTATATGAAATACATTCCACTTAACACGATAAACGTTCTTTGGGATCTGAGAATTGAAATAGTGGGCAATTCTCAACTGTTACTATTATTATCCCATAAATATCCCCACAACGCACACACACTGACAGACACAGACAGTCAGACACACACATACACACTAACAGACACACACTAACTCACTAGCAGACACACTCACACAGTCAGACACACACATACACACTAACAGACACACACTAACTCACTAGCAGACACACTCACACAGTCAGACACACACACACACACACTAACAAACACACATTAACAAAAAATTTTTTTTAATTTACCCCCCCCTTCCTTACCTTTGGAGGGGGGGGGTTCTCTATCTCCCTGGTGGTCCAGTGGCTGCGGGCGGCGCTGGGCTGGGCGGGCGGCTGGCGAGGGAGCTCTTCCTCTGAGCTGTCCGCTCAGCTCCCTCGTGCGCCGCAGAGTGAGGCTGGGAGCCGGAATATGACGTCATCTTCCGGCTCCCAGCCCCACTCTGCGGCGTGCGAGGGAGCTGAGCGGACAGCTCAGAGGAAGAGCTCCCTCGCCAGCCGCCTGCCCGCTCGGCATGTCTGTTAGCCGCAAGGCTAACAAGGCATTTGCCCTGGGCATTTGGGGGCGGCGTTATTTTGCCGCCCCCTGAAAAATGCCGCCCAAGGCAAATGCCTTGTTTGCCTCACGGCTAAAACGCCCCTGGATAGAAGCGAGCGAAGACGTGAGTGCAGCAACACCTTACCCTGCGACAAGGGAGCGAACGGAGAGGACAGTGTGGCTACACCTAAGGTGTGCACCTTACCTACCTGGCTTAGACTGTAGTTTGCAGAGGGACTGAGGGAGCGAGCGGACACTCTAGACAGTAGCATTACTAGTGAGACAGTAAGTGACTTGAAGTGAAGCTTTTAGATAGAGGATATATATGTACCCAGGAGTACATATTGTGTGAAGCAAGTAATTTTAGTTTGTTTTGCACTAGGATTCACCAACTTTCATACAGGTCACAGGCAGCACAGATAACCAGTTACATTATTCTGTCCACTCATGAGGTTATTACTAATATAGACAAAGTAGCACCATACACAGCCAGCACACAACCATCACACATTGACAGCACAAAAATGACCACACACATTTTCATCACACAGAGCCAGCCCAGTGCTAACACACAGTTTCCACCACATGTACACAGCCCAATAGCATCACACACAAGCTACTCATATCACGACATCCCAATACCTCACACGCAGTCCCCATTACACTCAGACAGCCAAATATAACACACAAATTGTAATCATTACACTCAGACAGCCCAATACACAGTTCCCATTATACCCAGACACCCAAGTGTCACTGCAAGGGTGCATAGTTCATTATTGCACTATGGAATATTGTCCTTTAATGTAATTTGTGTAGTGCATAGATGACCTGCCTACCTGGTAGAGGTAGTATTGTCAATGTCAAAAGGGGTAATTTAATTGTGTGGGAGGTCAGAAGGTTTATAACCTGAAGTCCTCTTTGAAGCTGGCACCCCCTACAGAGGTCAGATGACAGAAGGGGTAATGTAAATTGCATAGCAATGTGAAAGGGGTCAGATGGTTTACCATATGGATGGATCCTTTGATCAATCAAAGGCTCTGCAAGGTCTGAGATTCTACACTTGAAAAGCCCGAATGTTTGGTCCCAATGTAAACTAGCTGGCTTTAGCCATATGGCCTGTACCTTTTAATTGATGAGTGGATTTCTTTGATATGTTAATGATCATTAGCTTTCAAGAAAAGATAAAAACCAAGCCTTGTATCGTATCCAAAAGAAAGAAACATTAATATTTACCCACAGAATAATAATTTTCTTATATTTGGAATGTAACCAGCAAAATCTTCTAATCAAGCCCAAACATGATTTGCGTAACTTAAGCATAGTGGAAGGGATTGTGATGTCTGCTATATTGGGTCACAAGTAAGAATTGTGACATATCTATGGATTGGGAAAATGGTAACCAAATTATAGATGCAATTATTATTTATGTGGCAAGTACATAAAAGGAGATAGAACCAAATGTTTCCATTTGGATTGATGTTGGTCTGGAATACAAGGGGGTGGTCACTTATAGTTACTATAGGTATGCCTTATCTCCACCTCTGGGTGAGGCTTGTTAATCCACAGGGTATATGTCTAATGATTCTAAAATGTGTCTTTGTACTTGCTTGAGGGGCCAGATTCTAATTCTAAGTGAGTCACCATCTTTCTTACCAGAGACCCCCTGGGGCAGAAGTTTTACTTTGAAAAGCTGAGTAAGTAATTAGGACTGCTGTTATTTTATCCCTTTTGTTTTTATTTGTTGTTGGTGTAAATAATTTGTTTATCATCTATTGGTTTGTATGCACTGTGACTATTTTTTGTTCATAATAAATATTCCTTTATTAATTTCTGCCTTTGTCTGGTAAAGAATCATGTTACCTGAATAGACTAGACTAATTTGTACTTTGCAATTACATAGATATTGTCCTAAGTTATATTTCATGGGTTTTTATTAATACGTTACCTGGGGGACCAATGCACCTCATTTATAAATTGTCTTGGTGGTGGCAGCATTAAAATAGCAATATTTATATTATTATGCTTAAGTGTTGGTGATGTTAAGGGGGTTTTATCATTATTTCAGGTCTAGTGCAGAAAAATAGTGAACTTTAACCCTTTCACCAGGACAACTACGTTACGCACACTCTTGCAGTAGGGTGCGTTTGTGACACCCAATACAGTCTCCAATACACTCATACAGCCAAATATATCACACACAATCTGTAACCATTTCACTCAGACAGCTCAATATGCCGTCCCCATTGTACCCAGACACCCCAATACATCACATGCAGTTCCCACTATACACAGACAGTCTGAGTTCAACTGTCACAACCAAGGTATTTCTAAGTTATAAAAAAAATAATGACACCAGTAAAGACTCCAGCTTGTAGTATGGTGCAGGCCCGGAGTGCCCTTGGCCTTTAAGAATTCGGCCGTGATAGGATGCAGATACATCACCAAAAGTGTGATAGAGCACTCATGTCGCCAATGTGATGTTGTCTCTGGAAATTACATCCGGCATCTTTTCCCTTCTGCTTGGCACGTGCAAGAGGCTGTTTGAAGTACTGGGGCAAGTCCCATGAGTGCCATCTCAGTTTTGGGGTAAGTCCTGGGTGCTGGGGCAGGTCCTGTGAGTGCAATAGCTGTGCTTGGGTAAGTCCTGGTTGCTATAGCAAATCCTGGGAGTGCAATCTGTGTGCTCGGGTAAGTCAATATATGCCCCCAGTATGTACACAAGGTTATGTCTCTGGTATCATCAAAGATGAGCTTGTGGGGCCTTTTCGGGTTGAGGATGGAGTCAA